GGACATTTTCAATCTCATGCCAAGGGCATTGTGGTCATTCTGGCCAGGGTGCCACGTGTCATGACTACAGTCATTCTTAAGTAAATCTCACATCTTAAATATAGCTACGCTACCCTACAATTCTTTCATAACTATAGTCATTCTAGGGAAAGCACTTCTTAGCTTTCATCCTTCCCTTACTGCGAGTAATATTACCCAACGACCATGTATATTCATACACTTACTTAATAAGCATCATCATGTGATCATGTCTGATTCAATTCTAATGTCTCGTAGTTTACTTTCTGAAAGACCCCTACACTTTTAAAATTAACACAATTTATTTATATTGATATCACTTTGAATAGCACTCAGTAATCATTTAGTCTCTCCCTAATTGACCTTGGCAAATGCCCAAGTCTCCTTGGCAATAAAGCAAGTTTTTGCATCTTTCCTGTAATTTAGATTAATATATATCTAGAAGTTGTCAACTGCAACTTCATAATAAATTTTTCAAATCATGGAATACACACACACACACACATAAAACTAGAAACAAGAACTATATGTTTCTCAAATAATCTTGCACAAATTTAATGCGTATACCAGAAAGTTAATTGATGCATCACATTCATTTACATGAATTTCATATTTCTTTTCTAAATGAAGTGTTGAATACCATTCATGAGGATTTGTTATTAATCTGAATGTGGTTGCATCTTCACATGAAGAAAATGACACTAGCCGCATTTTCTTGTATCATTTCGTTTCTACAAAAAAAAAAAAAAAAACCAAAACAAAACAAAACATTTTTTTTCCCACAAACTGGTGCAAACTACGCAAGCAGATTTGGATGAAGAACAGTTACCAAATTCTACAAATTATTAGTGATTAAGCTTCATTTCAGATTTCTTAGAATAAAAGAAAGTTTTGTAGTTTTTTGTTTTAAATTGGATTTAGTGTGAGCCATTAGATCATAGTCCATGTGCATCACTTAGTTTGTTATGTGTGAGTTATAGCCCATGACAAGTGTAATCTCTTGCCTCATACACCTTGTGTGAAACAATAAATGAAAGTGTCATTTCTCTTCTTCTCTGAGCACTCACTCTCACCTTCTGGATCTCTCCCTTTAATCCAAACCTTCATTCGAATGCGCAATTTCCATAGCTTGGGGTTGTTTTGCAAAGTAACAGGTAACAGTTAGAGGAGAAAATTTCAAGTAGTATATCTAATGTGGGCAACAAACTCAAGAGTAGGTATTGTCACCCTTTGTTGCAATTTATTTCTGCTAAAACTGTAATGTATATTCTTTGTATAAGTCTTAGTTACTCTATGTATTTTGTATTGTACCACTACATTTCTATTGTCATGTATCGATTTCAGGTGTATCTTGAGATTGAGGTGCGACACAAATAGCGGTAGAAAGCCAGGAATTTGCACACTTGAATTTTTTTGGCTCATTGTGTTATGTACACATTCTTGCAAGTGTGACATACTTGTTGCTTATTACAAAAGTGAGAAAAACTACAAACTGTACAATCCAGTTACCATAACTTTTGATGAAAATGCTTGTTGGATGTGGAATTATGAAGCTAAAAATGCGGTAAATGGTTCTAGTGATTGTTGATGCTGAGAAAGGAAAATATGCAAATGTTGAAGAATTGAATAAGTAATCTGAATTTGTTGATCACTTGCTGAGTACTCCATAGAAAAGTTAGCAAGATATCTCAGAAGTTCCAAATACAAATTATGTTTCACAAGATAGAGCGAGTGACACATCCTGGCCTGGCCCCCCCACATCCCGGCCCGGGCCCTCACGGCTCGACTTCACTGTAGCACAATATTGTCTGCTTTGAGCCACGACCACGCCCTCACGGTTTTGTTTCTGGGAACTCACACGAGAACTTCCCAGTAGGTTGCTCATCTTGGGAATGCTCTCGCCCGAACTCACTAAACTTCAGAGTTTCAATGGTACCCGAAGCCAGTGAGCTCCCAAAAGGCCTCGTGCTAGGTAAAGATGGGAATATACATATAAGGCTTACAGAATCCACTCCCCTGGTGATGTAGGATGTTACAATCTACCCCCTTCAGTAGCCTGACGTCCTCGTCAGCACACTTCTGGGCAAGGATTAGCTCTAATACCAAATTGTCACATCCCGGCCCGGGCCCCCACCACATCTCGGACTCGACTTCACCGTAGCACGATATTGTTCGCTTTGGGCCCCGACCACGCCCTCACGGTTTTGTTTCTGGGAACTCACATAAGAACTTCTTAGTTTGTCACCCATCCTGGGAATGCTCTTGCCCGAACTCACTTAACTTCGAAGTTCCGATGGAACCCGAAGCCAATGAGCTCCCAAAAGGCCTCGTGCTAGGTAGAGATGAGAATATACATATAAGGCTTACAGGATCCACTCTCCTGGACGATGTGGGATGTTACAACAAGAATTCCTCAAGACTTTGATCACACTCCATTGAAATGGAGAAGTTTGAGTGAAGTGATGGCTCAATGCAATATGTGTGTCATAGTGCCTAAGAACTATTAAGAAGCAGCTCAAGATGATTCTTGGAAGAGAGTAATGTAGACTAAATTAGATATGATATAGAAGAACAATACACGGCAACTTGTTAATAGACCATTTGAAAAACCAAACATTGGTGTCAAGTGGGTCTATAAAACTAAGCTAAATTTGGATGGTTCAATATAGAAGAATAAAACCCGATTGCTTGCAAAATGGTACTTTCAAAAGCCTGGGATAGCTATAATGAGACTTTTCTTTAGTGGCCAAACTTGACACCATCAAAACGTTCATCATAGAGGGATAAAGTCTATTTCAATTGGATGAAAGTCTGCTTTCTTGAATAGGGTATTGAAGGAATAAGTATATGTTGATCAGCCTCAAGGCTTTGTGATAAAGAACGAAAAAGAAAAGGTGTATAAGCTGAACAAAGCTTTATATGAGTTAAAGCAAGCTCCAAGAGCTAGGTTAGATAAACTCATACATCACCAATATTAGATTTTAGAAGAGTTACAGTGAAGCCACATTATACATCAAGTCAAATGGAAGCTTATGATCATTATAATCTCTCTTTATGTTGATGACATAGTGTATATTGGTAGTTGTTCAAAATTACTTGAAGAGTTTAAAAATGATATGATGAGGCACTATGAGATGACAAATTTGGGTTTACTACATCATTTCTTTGGAATGGGTGTAGTGCAAACTGAGCAAAGTATTTTTATCCATTAGAACAAGTATGCCATGAAGTTGATTGAGAAATTTCAACTCCACTAGCGGTGAATGAGAAATTGTGCAAAGCTGATGGAAATGAAATTGTTGATGAGACTAAATGCAGAAAACTTGTGGGAAACTCACTTTATTTAACTGCAAAAAGCCTAATACTATGTTTGCAACAAGTATTCTTACAAGATTTATACACAACCCTACAAAGAAGCATATGGGAATTGCCAAGAGAGTCATGAGGTATATTCAAGGCACTTTGAATCATGGCATTGAGTATGTTAAGGGACAATCAAGCCTTCTTATAGGCTATTATGATAGTGATTAGGCAGGAAATGATGATGATATGAGAAGCACCTCTGGTTATGCATTCAATTTGGGATCAAGTTTGTTTTTTCGGGCCTCAATCAAGCAAAACACATTTGCACTCTCTATTGCAGAGTTGAATATGTTAAAAATATGTGAAATTTTAGTAAATGTTAGAAATTATTTGAAACTTTAGAAATATTTGAAATTTTTGGAACACATTAGAAATTATATGGAATTTTAGAAATTATTTGAAATGTTGGGCAATTTTAGAAATTGTTTGAAATTTTAGCAAATTTTAGAAATTATGTAATTTTTTTTCTTAGAGGTCTTTGCGCTTGATCATTAGTGCGCCATTGTGCCTCCACCTCTGCTTAAAGTGATGAAAATGGAAACGACTGCTCCTCTTGCTTTTGAGGCTAAGAGGCAAGTGTATGGTTTATTTACAGGCAAATGCTTTTGTTTATGTTTCAATGTATAAGTGAGGCATTGTATTTGGGTTTGTTTGTTAAGTCCACAAGCCCACATGTCACAAGATTAATAATAAAAGCTTTAAATGTTACACACAATACTTGTATTTTATAATATGTAATAATCTTTCAAAATAACATATTATTAAATATTTATATGTATATTATATAGTAAATTTAATTAATTTATATAATGTATAATAAATTTATATAGTGTATTAAGTGTTGATTAACGTGCTTATTTTTTATTGACGACACATCACATGATTTGCAAATATAATCTAAAAATTTGGTTTATCTAACATTACTATTATGTTACTCATAAAAGAAAATTACAAGAAATTTTTTGAATCCCAATCACACCTCTCTAAAATATCAGCCTTCATGCCGTTTTGCTTGTCGATATTCAATACACAAGCACTAGCTATCAATGCCTTATAAAGGACAACCAAGAAAATCAATGCTTTTTTTGCATAATTCGTAATCCAAATGAGATTATAATTCCATTACTCATTGTCAATAAGTAATTAATTTAGAAACAATATCAGTATTAATTTATACAAAATTTTATTTTTTTCTAATTTAGATAATTATGACGTTGGGTAAATGCAAATGAATTTATTTTAATTTTATGAAAAAATTCAAGAGCATTTCCTTTTTCACCTGAATTTAATAATTCCTTCCGCAGTATCGCTTGTATAAAAAAAAAAATGATCAATCAACTAAAACCTGGTTGTGGGAGGCCAAATTTGTTTTGCAGGCCAAGACTGTACCATTGTTGACATGGACTGCTCTTTCGCGAAGAAGCCCGATCCACGAGTTACAACCCACTTCCCAATTTTAGAATTGAGATCCCTCGCAACTCTCACTTTCCCGCCGAAACCACATTTCAGATTTTCTAATCTTTTTCCCAATAAAATATAATTATTTATTATTATTATTATTATTTTTTATTTTCCTTTCAAAACTAAAAATTCAAATCTAAAACCGCGGCTTAGTGACAGCAAACTGCTTTACATTCCAGTGAGGAGCTCTAAAATCCCGAGGATCCAATTTCTCCGAGAAGCATCTCGCTTCCACTTCGCAGAAACGAAGAGCTTCACCGAGTTGACTCGGAAGAAAATGGTGTCGGAGTCGCAGGACGAGTTCATGGCCGACGGCTCTGACCCGGGGCCCGGAGCATCCAGGGGTCCCAGGCTGTTTATCAGAGAAATGGTCATGAGGAACTTCAAGTCCTATGCCGGCGAACAACGCGTCGGTCCTTTCCACAAGGTTAGGTTTTCCTAATTAGCTTGATGAAAATTCACAGGCTCAATTGATTTTGTAAAATTGGAAGCTAGGGTTTTTCTTGTTGCCGACGGAAATGCTATTAATGTTAATTTGCGGAAAATTTGATTTATCTATTAATAATTGTAATTATTGGGAAAACCAGAGCTTTTCTGCAGTCGTTGGACCAAATGGGAGTGGGAAAAGCAATGTAATAGACGCCATGCTCTTTGTATTTGGAAAGAGAGCTAAGCAGGTAGGTCGAATGTTCGTACGATTTCTATATGATTTATTTGTTTTTCGGCTGTGGTTATACTTTTCTTTTCGCCTAAATCTGCGGTATAATTGTAGATGCGACTTAACAAAGTATCGGAGCTTATTCACAACTCCACTAATCACCAGAATCTGGATAATGCTGGAGTTTCTGTTCATTTCCAGGAGATCATTGATTTGGTAATTTTACCCTTTTCTCATTTGTGTTTGCTTTTTGCCCTTGATAGGTATAAACTTTCATGTTCCAAGTGTTTTATTTTTGGTAAACGTTTTCTAGAAAGAGCAATCAATTTAACTGGAACTGCAGGGCTCTCCCGAAAATTTTTAATTCTGGGGTTTGTTCTGGTATTTAGTAATGAATATAGTAATATGCAAACTATGTTTGCAATCGTTACAGGATGATGGTACATTTGAAGCTGTTCCAGGAAGTGATTTTGTAATTACTAGGGTAGCGTTTCGTGATAACTCCTCCAAATATTATATTAATGACCGCGCAAGCAATTTCACGGAAGTTACCAAGAAATTGAAAGGAAAAGGAGTTGACCTGGACAACAATCGTTTTCTGATTCTTCAGGTTCGATTTTTGACATGCAGCTCTTCAACTTTGAGTAAGTTTGTCTCGGGGTTTTAAGAGTGAGTTTGTTGTCACTATCAGGGTGAAGTTGAGCAGATTTCACTTATGAAGCCAAAAGCTCAAGGATCCCATGATGAAGGTTTTCTCGAATACCTTGAAGACATTATCGGAACTAACAAATATGTTGAAAAGATTGATGAGTCGTTCAAAGAGTGAGTACTTTGTCTGTGTTTTAGTTCACTGAGAAGTTACATGTTATAATCCTCCTCCTGCATACACTCTCCTTTCAATCACACATGCTACACCCTACTTGTAGAATTGCAAGCACATAAATTTCTTTTAGCTAATTTCTTTTAGCTGACTAGAAATTTAAAGATTAGAGAATGGAAACTGACATGCATGGATGTTTTACAAAAAGATAAAAAAGAGTACACTTGGGTGGCTTTGAAACTTTGGTTCCTGGATAACATATATTTACTCCACCTTTCTGCCAAGACATTAGAGGACAGACAAACATTCTTGGTCTGATATGGAATTCTCATATTTCTAACGACTGGATGATTATCTTCACTGTTGTCGTAGGTTAGAATCCCTAAATGAAAAAAGATCCGGTGTGGTGCAAATGGTCAAGTTGGCAGAGAAAGAAAGAGATGGCTTGGAGGTAAATATAGTTTGCACATTGGTTGACCATCGCCTGATATGGTTTATTGAAATTTTGAAATGATTTAAACAGGATGTGAAGAATGAAGCAGAAGCCTACATGCTGAAAGAGTTGTCACTTTTGAAATGGCAAGAGAAAGCCACAAAGTTGGCTCATGAAGATACCAGTGCAAAAATGGTTGATCTACATGGAAATATGTCCACCTTAGAAGGCAATCTAAAAACTGAAAGGTAAACTTTCTCATACTAGTACTATTCAGTTGATTCAGAACTTGTTTTCATTGAGGAACTTGGATACTATTTCAGGGAGAAGATCCAGGAAAGTAATGATGCATTGAAGGAGCTGGAATCTGTGCACAATAAACACATGAAACAACAAGAGGTTTGGTTTACTTGCTTTTTCTGTTCTTGCAAACCAAGCTTATCTAACTGGCACTTGAATTTCTTGTTTGTTAGAAGAAATTTGGAGTACATTGATCCTTATACTGTCTTGGTCATTTGTCAAAACATGACTAGATTCTGTTGTTTGGTACAAATAAACCAGGAACTTGATAACAACCTCAGAAAATGTAAGGAAGAATTTAAGCAGTTTGAAAGGGAGGATGTTAAATATCGGGAGGATCTGAAGCATGTGAAGCAGAAGATCAAGAAACTCAAGGATAAACTTGAAAAGGTAGGGGAAAAGCATTATTCTGTGTAAGTGAAAACAAGTATACACTAAACATTTGACTTCAACTGCAGGATTCAGTAAAGATTAATGACATTGAGAAGGAGTGTGAGGACTCAACTAATCTGATCCCTGAACTTGAGAAAAGTATTCCAGAACTGCAAAAACTCTTGTTGGATGAAGAGAAAGTCTTGGACGGAATTGCAGAGAATTCAAAAGGTGATTTCTTTCAATTACAATTGTTCAAATGTCGGGACTTTTTTGTTAGACTTGTCTTAACATTCTTGTGAATAAAAAGTTCACATAATCTATGTGATGCACTTAATATGATAAACATTTGGTGGACCAGAGTATACTATATATATGATAGTTTTATTTATTCAAAAGGTGCTTTGCATCTATGTGCACCATTACATTCTTTTTTTTTATAGTTGACATGGATGATTATGTCCTTGTTTCAATGTCTGCCATATAATGTTTTCATCGTTAGGTATCAGTTCCCCCTAGCAGATGTTGCTAATTGTTTAACAAGTCATTTGCTTCTGTTTTTACAAGCAGTGGAAACTGAAAGATACCGCTCTGAGCTTACAAAGGTTCGTGCTCAATTAGAACCATGGGAAAAGCAACTGATTGAGCGCAAGGGGAAACTTGAAGTTGCATCTACCGAACAGAAGCTTTTAAATGAAAAGGTGAAGTTGTAATAATATTGGCATTGACACTTTTTTGAAATAAAATATAAATTAATGGTGACATTATTGCTTTAGATATTCTTAGTGTCTTCTCTTGCTATTATAGTAAAAGATATTTGTGTTGTGACCTGTGACTAAAAACTAAAATATTTCTTTTGAACTACTCCTTTAATTGAAGAACTTATAAGTTTTAGTGTGAGGAGGATTTAGACATGTGGATAATTTTCAACTTTTTCATACTGTTTCAGCACGAAGCTGGTCGTGCAGCTTTTGAAGATGCTCAAAAGCAGATGGCTGATATATCAGGAAGTATTGAAACAAAAAGCATAGGCATTGCAAAAGTTCAAAGTGAAATAGAAAAGAGCAAGCTTGAAGGAATTGAAGCTCGTAAAGAGGAACAGGTTTGTATTTTCATCATTGAGATGATGTTTGATCTCTTTATTTTTAAATTATTGCTTTTCATCTCAATTGATGCGGTAACAACATTTAGTCTTTTTCAGGAATACATTAGAGAACAGGAAGCTCTGATTCCTTCTGAACAAGCTGCAAGACAGAAGGTTGCAGAACTTAAGTCGGTTTTAGATTCTGAAAGGAATCAAGGAACAGTTTTAAAAGCAATATTACATGCTAAGGAGTCCAATCGAATACAGGGAATACATGGCCGGATGGGTGATTTAGGTGCTATTGATGGTGAGTGTTCTGCTCATTGAGGTTAATTTTTAATTGCTGTAACTCTTTTGCTGTTCAAATTTAGAGTCTTTTATACATTAAGGTCATTACATCTTAATTTAAATAACAATTGATAAAACAAATCCAAGTTTAATTAAATTTCTTTCGATTATAAAAGGGTCACTTTCTAATACTAATAACAAGCATACGTATTTTACAAATTATCACAAACCCAATTTATTAAGTTGGATGGATTGAAATCTGTATTTCAATATAAGGTAACATCCCTTTTTCGTAAGAATGAAATATAGGATTTTTATGTTGTAAGAAGAACAATTTCATTCCAAATCAAGGCATAAGGACCTTCACAATTCTGAACTGAATGAATGGACTAGGTGGTTAGGGAGTCATTATCCATGGTTAATATTATCATATGTGAAAGTTTAGATTTGTACTTCTTGTTTGGTGAAGTGCCTTGTGCCAAGCTAAAAGTGGCACACACAGTCACGATTCCTGTTTTCTCTGTCTGCGATGTTTAAAACACCAAAGTGCATATCCTTTTCTTAACCCTATCGTTTATTACTATTAGTTGTCAAAAGCACATATTCATACACAGTTTATACGTTCGAATTAACTTCCCATTTGAAAAATTGCCTCTGCAGCAAAATATGATGTTGCCATATCAACAGCTTGCGCTGGACTTGATTATATTGTGGTGGAAACAACTAGTGCAGCCCAAGCATGTGTTGAGCTACTCCGAAGGGAGAATCTTGGCGTTGCAACTTTCATGATATTGGTATTAATCCCATGTTACAATGTTCTGCAGAAACCAAATCCTAACATTTATGGATTGTATAAGTGCCTAAACCGGGGGGGAGGTGATTTCTAGTCCAGTTTCAGTGAAATGGACGAATTGTCATTTAAATTTTTAAGCTTTGTTATGTGGGAAGTCCTTAAGGTGTCCTGGGCTAGCTTTTAAAAGTGTAGTAGATATACATTTGGTTTGGCATTGGGGTGACTTAATTACTCTTGTAAATGGAGGTTACATCTTGGCACCTACTATATATCTCCAACTGTGGAGATCGTACAACCATAGTTGAATACATTGCATGTGGGTATTGGGGAGTTATGAAATTCTTATTTCATGCTGTATTTCAATATCTCAGGAAAAGCAAGGTGATCTTTTACCAAAGCTGAAGGAGAATGTAAACACTCCAGAAGGAGTTCCACGCCTTTTTGATCTAATTAGAGTTCAAGATGAGAGAATGAAGCTCGCATTCTTTGCAGCTTTGGGAAACACAATTGTAGCTAAAGACCTTGATCAGGTATTTATCAATTTTCCTTATTGAAGTTGATGAGCTTAATTGTGGTTTGCTAATTGAGAATTAGTTTGTATGAATGCCACAATCGGAAGGACCCAAGCAGTCAGCCTATTGAGTCTGATTTCCTTTTCTCAAGGATACAATTGCGATGTCTTGTGGATTGCTTTAGTGTTCCATTAAATTTCTGTTTAGTTTTGAAAGCAATTAAACAGCACTCTATTTTCAATTTTAGGCAACACGTATTGCATATGGCGGAAACAGAGAATTTCGACGAGTGGTAACACTTGATGGTTCTTTATTCGAAAAATCTGGTACTATGAGTGGCGGAGGAAGTAAGCCACGTGGTGGAAAGATGAGCACTTCTATTCGTGCAACCAGTGTTTCAGGAGAAGCTGTTGCAAATGCTGAGAAGGAGCTCGCAGCCATGGTTGATTCATTAAATACCATCCGCCAAAAAATTTCCGATGCAGTGCGGAGGTATCAAGCCTCAGAAAAAGCACTTGCACGCTTGGAGATGGAATTAGCTAAAAGTCAGAAACAGGTGATTCTTCATATGGAACTATGTGTTGTCCTAGGTTTATGTATTTGAAAAGAATTTCCTTGAATGAAAGTTTTCATCTTGAAACAGATTGACAGTTTGAATTCGCAACACAGTTATCTTGAGAAACAAATTGGTTCCCTGGAGGCTGCTTCACAGCCAAAGAAGGATGAGCTTGATCGCCTAGCTGAACTCAAGCATCTTATTTCTGTTGAAGAAAAGGAGATTGATAAACTCATACAAGGTTCAAAGCAGCTGAAGGAGAAGGTGAGGAACTCCTTTATGACTTTTGTCCCTGAAAGTAGCAGCTAATCGTGATGGCTAAGTGTACAATAAAACACAGGCCATTGTATCTTGGCTTGTAGTTGCGTTTTCTGGTCTAACTGGTAATTCAATTAAAAAATTATGAGAATGGCTGGAATTACAATTGATTGTCACATGCAGACAGGCACAATGATTTTTTTTTTCACATTATCTGACCATTTCCTGTCTTGTAGGCCTCAGAACTCCAGAGTAATATAGAAAATGCTGGTGGCGAAAGACTAAAAGCACAGAAGCTAAAGGTCAATAAGATTCAGTCTGTAAGTATATGCACCTCTATGAAACATCCTAGCTACAATAATGGAAGGACTGTCCTAATAGGTGCTATTTAATTGTCAGGATATTGATAAAAACAATACTGAGATTAACCGCCGCAAAGTCCAGATTGAGACTGGCCAGAAAACTATAAAGAAGTTGACAAAGATGATTGAAGAATCCAAGACTGAGAAAGAACGACTTGATAAGGAGAAGGAAAACGTGTGTTCCAAATTCAAAGAAATAGAACAGAAGGCATTTGTAGTTAAGGAGAACTACGAGGGAATACAGAAGGTTTACTTTCTTCATTACTCTATTTCTATGAGCTGATGTATTATTGAAAAAAATTCTATATAATTTGGTTATATCTTGTGCAGCTGATTGATGAACATAAAGATATCTTGGGTCAAGCAAAATCTGACTACAACAAAATGAAAAGGACTGTGGATGAACTGCGTGCATCACAGGTACTATGATGAAAAATTAATACCATTTTCAAATTTCAGTGGTGGTAACTATTGTCATAATACTAGAAAAATTTGATCTGACGATCAGTACACTCAACCTTATAATTGGTAACTGGAACTTAGCAGCAATTGGTCACATTCCATGCTTGCTTCTTCTTTTACCACGACTGTTATTTTGCTATTTGTTCGGCATAGTAATACTATGTTACCTTGGAATGCTGCTGTTAGTTAAGCTTTTTAAAGTTCTTACTGCTTGATTGGCTTGGTGATATCATAGGTTGACGCTGATTTTAAATTACAAGATATGAAGAAGCTATACAAGGAGCTTGAGTTGAAGGGGAAGGGTTACAAGAAAAGGCTTGACGACTTGCAAACTTCCCTTATAAAGCATATGGAACAGTATGTTGATTTCAGAAAATACTTGTTTGAAATGGTGTATTGAACATTTCTAATACTATATCTTTCTTTCAGAATTCAGAAAGATTTAGTGGATCCTGAAAAGCTTCAAGCTACCTTGGCAGATGAAATTCTTAATAACCCTTGTGACCTTAAAAGGGCACTTGAAATGGTAGCACTATTAGAAGCACAATTGAAAGAGATGAATCCAAATCTAGATTCAATCGCAGAGTATGTTTTCCTTCATTTTCAAAGATTTTTTAATTTGACTTGTAAGCAGAGTTCTTCTAATTGTTTATTGCAATAGGTATCGGAGAAAGGTCTCATTATATAATGAACGAGTTGAGGATCTTAACACTGTCACTCAACAGCGTGATGATATAAAGAGGCAGTATGATGAATGGAGAAAGAAGAGGCATGCCACCCTTTTTCTTAAATTTTTTTTTCCTGTGCTATATGTTATCAAACTGTAAATTTAATTCACTGAATATTTTATGATCTTAGGCTGGATGAATTCATGGCAGGATTCAATGCAATCTCTTTGAAATTAAAGGAAATGTATCAGGTTCGTCAACTGATCTCTTTCTATCTTTTTTATGGGTTCTAATCTTTACGTTCCATTTTAATGCTGCTGCTGTGTACAATTGAGCTTGTACAACAGTTTAAAGCTTTACGTAGATACAGGCATACCTTGTGCCAGTTGTAAGCTAGTAACAAATGGTGTTTCATCATTTCTTAATGCTTTTGATTTTATGATTTTTATCTTAAATGTTTCATTGCTATGAACCTTCCTGCTGATACGGCTTATGTTTCATTCCTTTGCTCAGCACTTGAATCTTCTTTGTTTTGTTCTTACTGGTTCTCATATTCCTGGTGTTGTTACTTCTGTTATATGTACACAGATGATCACGCTGGGAGGTGATGCAGAGCTTGAGCTAGTGGACTCCCTGGATCCTTTCTCTGAAGGCGTTGTTTTCAGCGTCAGACCGCCAAAGAAGAGTTGGAAGAATATTGCGAATTTATCTGGTGGTGAAAAGGTGCTGACTTGGTGTTCCTTGTTTTCCATTAAAGATCCCATAGCACCTGTCTGTCATATACATGAAATGTATAATGTTGATGGTTTTACTGCTTGCAGACTTTGAGCTCATTGGCTCTTATTTTTGCCCTGCACCATTACAAGCCTACCCCTCTTTATGTGATGGATGAAATCGATGCTGCGCTAGGTACTTTTGGATGAATGCTTGAGCTAAATTTCTAATTTTATCACATCAATTTTACTCATTTTGTTCTTTTGGCTAAATTTCATTTCTATGTTTCGTATGTTATTGCAGACTTCAAGAATGTCTCTATCGTGGGGCATTATATCAAGGACCGAACGAAGGATGCACAGTTCGTCATCATAAGGTTGGTTGATCCGTTGATTGCTCCGGTGGATTATAACAGAAATCGCTGGTATTATTTGAATTTAAGTCCGTCAGTATATATAACGTTATACGCACGCCTTGTCTTGTACAGCCTTCGGAACAATATGTTTGAGTTGGCCGATCGACTGGTTGGGATATACAAAACAGATAACTGCACAAAGAGCATCACTATCAATCCGGGGAGTTTCGTGGTATGCGAAAAAGCTGCTTGACGGAGTTTGCAGATCAACGTGCATAGAGGTCAGGAAATGGATGGCTCAATGCCGTGATCGTTCCTTAGTAATTAGCACGCGCTTGCAATGCATATAGTAAACTAATTTGTATTTTGAGTAGTCGCTTATGTAAAGCAATTGGCAATGCCCTGTGGCTTTTGGTATTAACTGATGTGTGGTTAGACAAGCAAAACCATGAACTTGTAATATTAGACTTGATGGGAGAAATAACTTGGTATTTGGACAAAAGTTTAGAATTTATAAATTGACATGCATCAATTGCTTTGTTTGGATTCACAAACATAGAAATTTAGAAGTTTTGATGAAAAAAAAAAATGGATTTAGTATCTAAAACCTATTGTACTTTTATGTGCAAACGGAAATGAATTTTAACAAAGTACCAATTATCAATGTCATAAGTGAAAGCAAAGGACAATGTCAAAAGAACACAAGAAATTTACGTGGTTTGGCATAAAGCCAACGACTCACAAACAAAGATTACAAAAGAGTGTAAACTCTCACAACCCAAATCTCACAAATTACAAACTCCAAACCAAACGAGTAGAGAATCCAAAACTGATGGAGAAGATTCTCTCAAATTGCTCTCTAACTCACAAATTGACTCTCATCAAATTGCCACACGAATGAGCCACATCAAAGTACACCAAACCCTAAGGTCCTATTTATAGTGCATATGACTTAGGTTACAATGAGAATTCTAATCCTAATTGGAAGTAAAATCAAAATCCTAATCAAATAGGTAATTAACAAAATCTCTTCACCAAGCAAGGAATCTAACCAAGAAATCAAATCCAAACCCAAATAGGACACCAAACAAAAATAGGTAACACAAACCTAATTTCTACATCATTCTAATTTTGAGCCGTAAAATCCCAACAATCTCCACCTCGGTGAGAAATTAACAAACTTCCAAAAAAAAACTTCAAAGTGGGATACCAAAACTACAAACGTACAAATGATCACTAAATACTTCAAAGAACGTATCTCCAGATAGACTCAAAAAATCCAAAAGCCTTCAAACTTGAAATTTCCTCCAACGCCTTCTCCAACAAACTCCATTACGGAAACTAACAAATACAAAACAAATTCCAAACAAAGGCTCGAACATATGAAGCAAAAGTGCGAATTGCACTCCACCAAAAGAACTTGAGTACCAAGCTCCACCTCCTCACATAACCTTTAGAGGACTTCAGAACAACAATCTTCTGCAATGTTTGCCTCAACACTAGCAAAAGACTTATCAAACAACTTTTTTTTGCCCTTGAGTTTAGCACAATCCACTTACCGATGACCCTCCTTATGACAATAGCTATAAGTGTTCTTTCCAATTTTGCCCCTTTCCTTATTCCTTCCTAGAACTACCAAAGCTCCATCTTGTGTGTTAGACACCTTATTCTTTAGCTCTTTAGAGTTCAAAGCGGCTTTAACATCTTCCAAACCAAGACTTTCTCTACCAAATAGCATGGTATCGACAAAGTGTTCATATGAAGGAGATAAAGAACACAATAAAGTCATCGCATAATCCTCATCACTAATTTGGCCATCCGCACTTTTCAAATCCATCATAAATTTATTGAATTCATCAACATGCTTAGGAATTGATGCACCTTCATCCATACGAAGAGTACGCAAACTTTTCTTCAAATAAAATCGTTTTGGCAAGGGATTTGGTCATATACAAGCTCTCCATTTGAGCCACAACTCCGGTGCAAATTTGATGTTACCAACTTCACCCAAGACTTCATTAGATAAAGTTAGTAGGATTGCTCCAAGTGCCCGCCCCATAACATCTTCCTTTTTCTCATCAGTCCACGAATTCGGCAAAGCCTTCACACTCTTGAGCGTCTTCAAAAGTCCTTGTTGAACTAACAAAGCATGCATCTTTAATTGTCAAAAAGTCATTCCCATCAAAATTTTTAATATCAACTTTCACCAATGACACAAAAGACTTCATAGAGACTGACAAGCAAAGCCCAATAAGAAACCTAGCTTTGATACCACTTCTTGTACTTTTATGCGCAAACAGAAACGAATTCTAATAAAAGTATCAATTATCAACATTGTAGGTGAAAGCAAAGAAAAATTCAAAAGAACACAAGAAATTTACGTGATTTGGCGTAAATCCTACATCCACGGGTGAAGCGTGGCGATGAATTTCACTAAATAAACGGATATTACAATAGTGTTTAAATTGTCACAACCCAAATCCCACAAATTATAGACTCTAAACCAAACGAGTAAAAAACCCAAAACTAACAGAGAAGATTCTCCCAAATTGCTCTCTAACTTACAAACTCACAAATTGACTCTCACGAAATTACCACATGAATGAGCCACATCAAAATACACCAAACCCCAAGGTCCTATTTATAGTGCATAGGACTTAGGTTACCATGAGAATTCTAATCCTAATTGGAAGTAAAATCCAAATCCTAATCAAATAGATAATTAACAAAATCTCTCCACCAAGTAAGGAATCCAACTAAGAAGTCAAATCCAAACCCAAATAGGACACTAAAAAAAAAAAAAAAAAAGGGGTAACACAAACATAATTTCTGCATCATCCTAATTTTGAGCCGTAAATCCCAACAAAACCCCCAACCTTTTAGTGTCATTCCAATTAATTTCAATCTTTTTAAACATTCCAAACAAGTACCTAACCTATTGAATATGACATACCCGTTATGCCCTAGTTAGTTTTTCAAACATAGATTATATTCAAAACTCACTAACTTTATATATTGGGAGCAATATTAATCTTAGTTGCCTCAGAATCTAAATATCAAACATAGATTATATATTATGGAACCCAATGGTCAAACAAGTAATGAATTGAATTGAAAATGGACCCAAATTGAAAGGACATCAGGAGAACAATCTCTTAACGAGAAGAAGGTTAAGAATCCACTTAGGGTTTCAAGGAGTCTGTTTTTGCTCATGTGATTTCCTCATTTGTTGATTCTCGGCTAGTAAAGTTTCTAGTTCTTCTTTGTGGGTGGTGAAGATGGTGTCATGACAGTCCATACCATTTCAGCAACCTTTATAACCTTCTTCTCAATGTTGGTGCTTGAATTGTAGAGTAGACTTGGTGGTTTGCGTTGGGTTTGGAGGTGATGGCATGATGGGAATGGTGGTAACTGTTAGTTGGTAAAGGCTATGCTATCATGAACTTTTAAAAAAATTTAACAGATTTTTAACTGGTGTTTAACGGATGTGACATTTTTAATAGGTTGGATACTTATTTGAAATGACACCAAAATGTTGGAGAAATTTATGTACTTAATCCAAAAAAATTTCTAGTTTGCGACCTCTAATTTCAAAATTTAAATTCTATATAAATAGTTGTCACCTTTAAATTCGTATAAGTGAATTAAAAAAAAAAACAACAACAACAACAACAACCTCAACCACGAGTGATTACCACCACCACCATCATCCTCATCATGGTTGCCGCCACAATTACATACCATTGTCTCCCCAGTTGTTGTAGCCACTACTAGCATATTTCTTAACTACTATCTCTCATCATTTATATATTATTGACTCTATACACGCATTAAAGTCTATATTTAAATTTTCATTATTCTTTTAGGTTAACTAGAAGAAAATTTGCAAATTCTAGAAAACAAAATTCCAGCATTTCAATTTCTTTTATTTTAAAATTCCTTAGTAATTTTAAATTTCTCCACCCAAGCACGTGTCAAAATTTCCAAATTTTTTTATAGATCCATTGATCTGTAAACGAAAATTTCAATTTGAATCATGAGAAGCATATAAGTATAGATACTGATACCAAATGATAGGATACAAATATTGAAAGGAAAAAATTGAAGAGGATGAAAAAAGGACATGCATAGCAAAAGAAAATTAGCCAAGGAAAACACCAATCATTTCATCTGTAATTCTCTTTATATCAAGAATAGTTAAAAAAAGAAATTAGCGTTTTCACTTACAATTAAAACCTTTTTTTTTTGAAAAAAGCAGAAGTTGCTTCAAATTGGCAAATCTCAAACGGGCACTTGAGCCTCGTTTGGTATTGTTTTTATTTTTATTTATTTTTTTCACAAAAAACTGCTTCACTTTAAAGTTAAACAATAAAAAAGTGTTTGACAAAATAAAATGTCCTACCTTATTTCTCTTTTCTTTCCCTTCATTTTACAATTTAAAAAGCTGAGAATAGCAAGCAGAGCAACTAGAAGACCATAAAAGAAAGGAAAATACCAGATTATATGATTTCTTTCGCTGTTTTAACTAGCTAACACTTAAATCAAAACCTCTTGGAACATTAACAGAGTATAATTTATATAGAAAAAAATAATTTTTACACTTAGACGCATTTAAATAAAGCTTAAAAATGCTATAAACATCACATATATGGAATTGTGGCAGCAAATACTTCACAATCATAGCTTATTTAACCATTGTTGCTGGACCAAAATTATACTCAAACTAGTAAATAATTAAACATCAGGGACGTAGGGCTCAAAGAGCTTCACACAGGGATTTGCATCGTACTGCATAATGTCGGCTGCACGCTCAAACTCCTCCCTTAGAACTTTTATGCTGTACTTGTCCACCACTCGACCCAGGTCGTGGGATATCTCGAAAGGGTCTTCTATGCATATCAGATGCCGATCATTCCCAACCCTCCTTGTCCAGTCCTTTTCCCGCTTGCTGAACATATTAACATCACGGCTAAAGTTGGTTAGTTGCAATTGCAGGTTCTTTTCTTTTGGGTAAATAATTACAAGAAAGTTCTTAGTTGAAGGTTTCAATTTGCAATAAGTTGGACAACTACAGCTCTTAACCACAAGCTACAAAACCTCTACTGACGATGGGGGCAACAAACTATAAATGAAAGGTTTTTGGTTCAACTCTGGCTGAAAAGTAATTCAAATGACATTCATCAAAGTAATACTTTATTCAGAATCCATGGGTTCAACAGACTAAGAGTTCCCCCTAATTCAATCACTCGAGATCAAGCAACTATTGATGAATGAAACGCTCAAGCATGTCTGCTATAGATCCTCAAAACAAACTTAATATTTGTCAAACGTGATCTGTGAATACATCGACTAGATTCTCTGCTCAGTGTAAAACACATAAAAAAAAGATAAAATATTACTGAAAGGTAATTAGATATCTCATGGACATGAATCAGAATATGATATATGAGCACATGAAGTCCAGCACATTTGCATAAATTTAGCTTCATGACGATGCAAGACAGTGGCATCTACCTATTACTAGCCTAATATGCAAATGTTTCTCTCAGAACATTCAACTGATGACAATATACCTACTGTCTTTATTTGAAACACATTTGATAAATATATCAATTAATAATCCATTCAACTAATATCTTCAATTACTTACCTTAATAGAACATAAAAGATTCTATATCTCACCTGATTAAGCTTCCCGTACGAACAGAAATAACAGAATTTGCATAATCATGGCTATATGCCCAGTAATTGAAAAATCCCCACACGAGTCTAGCAATAGGTTCCTTGTTATGGGACCCAAAATCTCTTAGTTTGTCTACTTGATCAAAGAAAGAACATTTAACGTTCTCTACAGTGACAGAGTACGTTGTTTGCATTCCCTGAAAGAGAAAAAAGGTTGTGCTTAAGCACCGAAAAAGAATGATATTGAAATGATGTCCATATATGCCTTGATGTCCTTTCGTTGAAGACGTAAACTAGGAAGTAGGAACACATACCTGTAAGCAGGGGAGAATAGCAGGTCTGCGATGTTGTAAGAAATGAATGCACATCAAAACATACCTGAAATTAAATGAAAACATTAACAATTTCAAGGTAGCTGGCAAAAAGTCATAAACATTCAAACCAAAAGTTTTTGAATAAAGCAAAGACTCTAGGTAGAAGTAGCCAAAGTATCTTGTGTCGAAAAAGTGAAGCAGAGTAATCGAATCAATGTCAATGGCATCTATCACTGAAGACTTTTTACCACTAATTTTGGGAACGAGAGATTCAGAAGTTAACTTACGCATAGCTTGATAAAGTTCCATGGTAAGTTTCATTGACTCCTCTTGACTTGGCCCAATGTTTCACAATAAAAGCCAATTGCCGTAATCTTGCATCAATTTTTGCATAATCACGAAGAAGCTTTGTATTTATGACAGCCAAAACATTGTTGATGCATATGTCACAGGAGATTCCAGTGACAGGATCCATAAGCTTTACGATGGGAACCCTAGCACGTGTCAACGCCTGACAAACAGGAATACTTAAATAACACATAAATATTATAAAACTCTAGGAGAATTAAATTACTGGAAATACCGTTGCCCATGGTAAATGGATTGCTTTGATAAGATACAAGAAGCATAATGTGCTTGTGTATATTTATATGGTGTTTCATGAAAATCCTAAAACTAGATGATATGGGAACTGTTCCACCATCCTTTCACAGTACATGCAGGATAGGGGACTTCATAAGCCTCAGGATTGTACGAACACCAGCTTGTCAATAAACAAACAAAAAGGCTGATGCATTTCCTGGATTTGAAGGTGAAGATGGAGGATGTCAAGAATCCCTTCCCTGATAAAAACATATTGTTTTCAAACACCTCCCTCCCTCTCCCTTTTTTCAAAAAAAAAAAAAAAAAAAAAAAACGTTTCATAATTGATTGCCTAGTTGGACATTGACAAAACAGCAATACAAGTTACAGAACCGCAAGATGAACACTCAATAATAGTATAACAGCCCTAAATCTTGCATATCAGAGTCTAGCGTATAAAAATCTGATATCATCATGAATACCAAAGCCTTGCATCTTAAAAGGATTCCGCAGGACAAGAGATAATTTCCTAAATCTCCTACTTCCATAAATCAACCATGAAGTACAGGTGGCCAAACAATATTTTGCATAGGTAAACCCCCAAAGCAGGAATAGCGACTATATTAGGGACTATAATAATGTACAAATTCAAATACAGAAAGTTTCCCTTATCAACTGAAAGAAGGCCAGTTGCTCAAATGAAGGGTAATTCAGCTTTTGTTTTCTGCACCATCAGATAATCATTTTTCTCATTATGGTTAAAATTTAGCCCCTCAAATAATTTTATATCTATGTCTCAATGTAAGAAGCACATCAGTCAATACAATGACCTAAACACTGCAAGGAGCATCCGTCAAGATTTATAAATGAAAAAACTAAAGTTTTATCCATCACAGAAATTCATGAGGAGAAGGCACTTTGATTCACCTGCACATTCTGTAGATTGTCTGATTGCAAAATATCTGCCAACCTCAATAAGAACTCTGACTTGTTAATGTTTGCCTCATCAATTGCAAGACAGAGATCAATATCACTTTTAGAAACCCCAAATGAGTTGCCACACGATCCGTAGATGTATAGTCGAGCTTCAGGCCATTCTTGAGTAACTAACCTCTCCAATAATGTAAACAATTGCTTCTGCTTAGCCTTCTCTTCCTCAGTTGGTATCAAGGAATCATAAATTGAAAGAAATGGAGCGTTTAGCCTGTCTATGTCCATGCGACATTGCATCTGTCTTTTGAAGATCCTCGTTCTTTGGCTAAGTAGATGTTGTCCTCTGTTATCTGATCTTGACTCCTGATAACAAAAACTATAAGTAATTAACATCTAAACTATTCATTACTTTGAATAATTAAAGAATACACATACGCATACAACCTACGGCATCTTATAAGGACCTGACTTGAGAATCAGTGTCTCAGCCATTGGATTAGGTATGAATGGCTAAGATACACAGCAGATAATAACGGGTGTAATGCTTCTTAATCACGATCAACAAGTGATGTCCCAATAAATCTCCATACATATTGCATTAATTGTTGTTGAGCAAAAGAGTTTGGTCTAACCCAGACTGCATATTCAGGCATGACTTTCACTTTTAACACTATCTATGCATTAACTTGAGCTATAACATTAAGTCAGCAGGAACAAATTTACTCCCCATAGCATTCAAAACCTTTATATGTATCGTAATAGAAACAAAGTTTTAACCTTTTCGCGCGCATTATGGTGTTGCTTTGCCTCATTCTTTTCATCCCTGTCATCATCAACGAACTGTTGGCTTCCATCTTCAACGTCTTTTCTCGCCTTATCTCCATGTTGTAAATTCATCATCGACTCTTCAATCTCCATAGCAGAAGCCGAATGGAGATTGGTGCCAGTGGGCAGACGAGGCTCATCAGGCTGTGCATTGAACCCCAATCCCCGAGCCCCATTGCCTTGAGTTCGACCATCTTCATTTGCCAATCTTCTCATTCTCTCATCTTCAAAAGAAACATCCTTGTTCCTCACAAATTCACTCGAACTCTTCCTATCCCTATCCACATTATGCTCAAACTCCCTCCTATTCCCAGAATTCCAACTCCCTCCTCCCCTCGCATTGTTCCCAAACCCTGGCGGCGGAGCATTCCTCTGAAACTGCTTTCCCCTTCCACTTGCACCTCCACCTCGCCGTTCCTGCTCCCGAGAATTGAAATTCGAACTGAAATTATCGTGATTCCCATGCCGGAACTCACTGGAAGTGGAAGAATTGTTAGAACTCAAATTGAGATTCCTGTCGAAGCTATTGCTGAGCTTCGAAACCTCAGAGGAAATGCTGGCATTTACTGAACCTTCGGGGTTTTGGACAAGGTCGCCAGGCAAATAACTAACCTTAAGCTTTTGATCTTGATGCTGCTTCAGCTGGGCAAGGTTTTGGAGGGGATTATTGTTTGCACTCTGAAAGCCGACTAGATTCCTCAAATCCTCGAGGTTTCCCGGGAATTGGTTTCCGGCGAACTGGGGAAAGGGATTCGGGGGAGAGGAAGACGGATAAGGGCTTTGGGGAAACCCTAGGAAGTTGAAATTAGGAGGGGACTGCGTGGACCAGAGGTAAGAAGGGTTGGGGAGTTGAGGGTGATGATCTTGGCCGTTGGATGATACCCACGGCGGCATATGCGGGAACGGGAGTGTGGGTCCCACCGCAGCGACCGCCGGATCGAGCACCAGAGGCGGTTGCTGTTGTTGTGGGGAGGGGGACTGGTGGTGGAGAAGGTTGGGCTTTTGTTGTTGGAGCAAGGAGAGGAGGAATTCGCCGCCGTTAGGGGACGGGAGAGGCGGCGCGTCACCTCCACCGCCGGCCATTGGGGTGGGTAAGGGCTGGGAGGATGAGTACGGGGTTAAGATTGTTCAGTTTTCAGAGCAGTCGCGAAGTGCTAAGGGAATCTCTTCAACTCTGAAGTGAGAGAGTCAGAGTTTTTTTATTGGTTTTGATTGGGACCCGAATAGAAAATAGAAGCAGTATTGTTTGATAACAGTTTACTGTCACGTTTATGACTTGATACAAGGAAGTATGCTTAAAAGAAACTTATGTCTGATTCAAATAACTTCGTGTTTATAATTGAAATTATTTTTATTGTATTTGTAAATATCGTGCTTATAGAAAAATAATTAAAGTTAAATAAACAATTTGTAATGCTTTTACTATTTTGTCTACGTATTTTTTATAGTTTGATAGCTAAATGAACTTAGTTTAACTTATTATTTGTACAACAGTTCTAATCATAAAATAAAATTTTATGAATAAAAAACGAAGAGTTTTGAGTAGAAAATCCTGTTTATTATTTGAGTAACCAAGTATTATTCTACAACATAAGTGCATCATAATCATCTCAATAATGAATAGAAACTCATACTCAAAACTTTTTGTAACTGATTTACAAAACTACATACTTTTTATCGAAATTGGTCTATTATAAATTACTTTGTAAATATCATCTTAGCAAAAAATAGATAAAAACTAAAGTAACTTTAGTTAATCAACAGTAGCATATAGATCAACACTTCGTTTAGTCAATCAACTGCAGTATTTTGAACTATCTATCTATTTAATCACGTTAATTAAGTAAACGATCTTAGTTTTAATTGATTTTTTTTTTCTCTTTTGCATGTATGAGCGTTTCAAAGTAATTATTATATGACCAGTTTTAATTATAGCACATATTTCTACGAATCAACTATGAAGAATTTTGAGTAGGTATTTTACCATTATTGAGTAGCTAAGCATTGTTTAATAAACAACCGGGGCGAGGTCACCTTGTCATTAGGGTGGTCATTTGACCATTGTAACCTTTAAATGATTCTCATTAAAATAGTATGTATTATATTATAATTCTTAGTGATCTGCTATATTCTTACATATTGACCGTTGTGGCCACTAAACAATTTAACCCTTATTTGTTAGTTTGACTGCATAGTTTCAATATGGTAGAGTTATTTGTTACCTTTTTGTCTTCTTTCATTATTTACTATATTTATTTATTTATTTGTAGAATATTGACTACATTTATAATATTTATAAAAATAGGGAATTACACAAAATGAAAAGGTAATTGATCAATTGGCATTAAACTTTGAACATTTCCTCCAAAAAAATAAAAAATAAAAAGAACCTTTTAAACTTCTCTTATTCAGAGAATCGGCCATCTTCAATTCCAAGACAGGTAACCTTCACCAGTTTATCTTTGCAAATTTTTTTAATCAACAAATCAATTAGGTAATTCTTAACTCTTAGTTTTCTTTGTCATTTTGTTGTTTATATATCGAGAAAGGCAACATAGTAATATATATAGAGAAAGATATCTTCGATAATAATGACAATGACATGATTATGAAAAGATTTCAGACTATGAAAATTCGTCGAGGGCCATTGTAATTTTAGTAGAATGTTTAATGAGTACCTATTAAGACTAAGGATTGTATTTTTATATGAGTTTTTCTTAGTATCTTTTAATCTTAAAGTTATTTAAAGTTGACCTTCCTTCAGAAATTTTCTGGCTACACCACTGATAATCAACATTGCTTTTAAAATTGTTATTGGTACTTGTTAGCCAAATTTTGCACAAGATGATGGAATGAATATGCAAGAACAAAACCAAGGAAAGATCATGAATCCAGGCGCCCGGGTGGGCGGTTCATAACGTAGGTGTTCCGATGATCAAGTCAGAAATAAATGTTTGAGAGTAAGTTATATATTCTGAAAGAGTTCAGATTGTCTAACCATCTGAGAAGAGTCCAGTGGCCTACTTATAGGCGTTTAGGAGTCGGTTTCAGTGTTCTGCCATTTGAGTTGTTAGAGCAGATGGAGTCAGAGGTAAGGCGCGAGGTCCTATTGCCTTAGTAGCATGAGACAAGATATCATGTGTCAGGTGCTTAACATGGGTCATATTGCTATTAGTCTGACCAATCAGACCTGCAATTAAGATTTGGCAATTGGGATCTGATTAATGATTGATCGTATCTAGTTAGGGGGTTATTGGGCACTATGTGTAGTATCTTCGATACTAACTCCAGTTGGAGAGCTTAGGGGCGGCGGACCACGTGGTCTCATGGAGGCTGCCAGAAATACTTCTAAAAATGTTGTTGAAGTCATTGTTGAGGGTGTTGATAATGATGTTAACGTAGTTGTAGGTACAAGAAGAGTTGTCGTTAGATCCACTGAAGGGCCTCTGGAGAAGTGTTTAAGGAGGACTGAGTGGGCAAAGAGCCTTCTAAGAGATCCTACATCTGGAAGCTGCTAACTGCTAGGACAACTAGTGAGGGAGTGGTCATTGCGCATCCTCGCGACGTCCTTGAGAACGGATTGCATTGTTGCAACGTCACATTGAGGAGGGCCTTAATGTGGTAATATATACACATTACGCATTTATATATACACATTATTTCCTCATATGTATATACACATTACTCACTCCAAAATGAATCAACAAAGTGAGTAAGCAACTTTATTGTTCTAATGAGTTAGAAAACATGGTCTCACAGTACTCTAAAAAAGTTAATCTGCAGAATGAAAATGTTTTTAAGTGCTTATAATAGTCATTTTATTCTAATAGAGATTGGTATCTTATGAAGAATGTTTTTAAGTGCTAATAAAGTCTTATCTTATGATGATTCGTTTTGGTATGTAAGTTGCGAATTCCAACTCAAAATAAGTAATTAGGTATGAAAATCCTAACATGCAAAACTAGTAATATGGTTAATTTTGTAAGATTAAGTAGCATTATTGACTGGGTATATGAAACTAATTTCTGTGGCAGAGCTGCTAAGGAAAAAGGGTAGTGTCATTCCCTTGTACAAATTGCCCTTCTAATATAAGCGAAAGACGAATACTAGCTACTTTATCCTCTTGCCTTCTCCTACATCCGTCCCCCTTAATGAAATATAGGAAAGACAAATTAGACAAAGTAATAGAGGAAGGAATAAGAAGATCAACTGTATATCAAGCCATAACCAGCCCTCGCTAGCTTGCTTAGTCCGACTTTGAAAGAAGCTAAAGATGACCAAACTATGTAGAGAGAAAATGGAGCCACAATATGTTGAAATTTTTTAGATCAACGTGCCCGGAGGGTCATACTCTAACGACACCGATACTGTCCCTAACTTTACCACTTGCTGAATTCGTCAGGTGTGGGGTTTTACCACAAAAGGCCTTGATATTAGTTAGAGTGGGGTAATCCTACTTAAAGTCATTACTTTTCTTTAACCCCACCAATGTAAGATTGCTAACACGCCTCATCACTTGTAACCCCATTTAGTGGTTCACACGTGAAGATCCACACATCGGTAATTGAAACTCAAAGGTCGACTCCAATAAAGTCCAGCAATTGAAACTCAAAGGTCGGCTCCAATGGAGTCCAAACTTGTTTTCAGTCTTTTTCAGAAAGTGACTCTTAAGAACTCAGAGGTCAACTTTATATTAAGAGTCCAAGCTTGTTTCCAAGCCCACACTTCTTAGAGATCGACGGGCTCGGGGGGGGCCCACTCTAACGACACCGATACTATAACCAACTTTACCACATACCTAATCCCTCAGGGGTGAAGTGTTACCACAAAAGGCTTTGGTATTAGTTAGAGTGGGGTAATCCTATTTAAAGTCATTACTTTTCTTTAACCCCATCGATGTGGGCTTGCTAACACGCCCCCTCACGTGTATCCCCATTTAGTGGTTCACATATGGAGATCCACATATCAGCAGTTGAAACTCAGAGGTCGGCTCCAATGGAGTTTAAACTTGTTTTCAAATTTTTTTCAGGAAGTGACTCTTAAAAACTCAAAGGCCGACTCTATGTTAAGAGTCTAAGCTTGTTTCCAAGCCCACAGTTCCTTGAGATCGACAGGCTCGAGGGACCCTACTCTAACGACACCAATATTGTAAGATCCCACATCACCCAAGGGAGTGATCCTTATATGTATATTCCCATCTCTACCTAGCACGAGGCATTTTGAGAGCTCACTAGCTTCGGAGTTCATTGGAACTCCGAAGTTAAGCGAGTAGCGAGCAAGAGCAATCCTATGATGGGTGACTCACTGGGAATTTCTCGTGTGAGTTCTCAGAAACAAGACCGTGAAGGCGTGGTCGGGGCCTAAAGCGAACAATATCGTGCTACAGTGGAGTCGAGCCTGGGATGTGGTGGGGGCCCGAGTCGGGATGTGACAGATATTGTCCCCAACTTTACCACATACCCAATCCGTCAGGTATGAAGTTTTAACACAAAACGCCTTGGTATTAGTTAGAGTGAAGTAATCTTACTTAAAGTCATTGCTTTTCTTTACCCCTACCGATGTGGGACTGCTAACACGCCCCTTCATGTGTAACACCATTTAATGGTTCATAGGTGGAGATCCATACATTGGCAATTGAAGCTTAAAGGTTGGCTTCAATGGAGTCCAAATATGTTTTCAATCTTTTTCAAGAAGTGACTCTTAAGAAATCGGAGGTTGACTCTATGTTAAGAGTTTAAGCTTGTTTCTTAGCCTATACTTCTTGGTGACAAGCCTTTGGCTTGTACGAGTTTGTAACCGTGATTCTAATACCATGTTGAAATTTTTTAGATAGATAGGCCTTGGGGGCCCCACTCTAATAACACCAATACTGTCCCCAACTTCACCACCTGCTCAATTTGTCAGGTGTGGGGTTTTACCACAAAAGGTCTTGGTATTTGTTAGAGTGGGGTAATCTTATTTAATGTCATTATTTTTCTTTACCTCCACTAATGTGAGAGTACTAACACGCCCCCTCACATGTAACCCCATTTAGTGGTTCGCATGTGGAGATCTACACATCGGCAATTGAAACTCAGAGATCAGCTCCAATTGAGTCCAAACTTGTTTTCAATCTTTTTCAGGAAGTTACTCTTAAAAACTTAGAGGTTGACTCTATCTTAAGAGTCCAAGCTTGTTTCCAAGCCACACTTTCTAGAGATCGAAGGGCCCAAGGGGCCTTACTTTAATGACAC